CTGAAGAGCAGTCCGGATTCCCTGCCCTGTGGGAAGTCCAAGGTCCTCCCCCCCTCCATCCTGGTCCAGGAAGGTGAGCATCCAAACAGGCTAGGCTCCCACAAAGCAGGTTCATGCAGTAGGATCGAAACCTAGTGACATTGTCCTTGGCTTCTCATCAGCCTTCATTATCTGCCATGTTCAGAGAGTCTGGTTTTATCCCATGCTTTTTCAGTCACAGTCCAGCTGGCCTTGGTGAACTCCCAATAGATCAGCCCCACTGTCACAGTGGGTGCCCCCCTCGCGGTCCTGACTTCCTTGCTCCTGTTCTCTCTCCTTCTGCTCCTCATTTGGATCTTGGGAGCTCAGTCCGGTGCTCCAAGGTGGGTCTCTGTCTCTATCTCCATCCATCACCAGATGAAGGTTCTATGGTGATATGCAAGATATTCATCAGTATTGCTATAGGATAGGGCCATTTCAGGTTCCCTCTTCTCAGATGCCCAAGGAACTAGCTGGGGACATCTCCCTGGACACCTGCGAGCCCCTCTAGAGTGGAGTCTCTTGCCAACCCTAAGATGGCTCCCCTAATTAGGATATATACTTCCCTGCTCCCATATCCACCCTTCCTTTATTCCAAGTTTGTCTTCTCATCAATTTCTTTAAAGGAGTTTTTAACATCCTGTTTAATGGTCTCTCACATTTTCATAATGTTACATCTAAAGTCCATTTCTTCTACTTCTTCTGGATTAGAGTGTTCAAGTCTTCCTATTGTATGTTCACTGGATTCTGATGTTATCATGTTGCTTTTCAGATTGTTGGAGGAATTTTTGCATTGGCTCCTGCCCATCTCTTCCTCCAAATGCTGTTAGGAGAGTCTTGGTGGCTTGGTCCGATCTTTGCTGTGGATACCTGAGTAATTGGGGGTTTTTCTTGGTCTACCCTCTCTTAGGTCCTCTCAGCACTGGAGTTGACTCTCAGATTCTCTCCCCCCTGAAGTAGGCCCTCTGTAGGGATCTTCTCATACAGGATTAGGGCCACTTGCTCTCTAGGGACCTCGCAGACAAAAGGACTGGGTGCAGGCTCAGTGGAACAAAGAAACTCATGCAGCAGTTGCACTCACCGATTTGTCCCCATACGCTCAGCCCTGAAGTAGGCTGAGTTGGGGGATTCTATGACCCCACAGATGAGAAGGGGTTTCTGGGAGGGGGGAATCTGGGATTGGATAAGAAGAGAAAGGCAGTAGCCGGGAGGGAAGCCCCTGCTGAATGGCCAGAAAGTTTAGGGGATTGGAGTCTTGAGTGCTTCTTAAACATAAAGCAAAGAAAGCCAGCCTACAATTCACAATCCCAGAGAACCTTGACAACAATGAGGACCCTAAGAGAGACATACATAATCTACATGGGAAGTAGAAAAAGACAAGTCTCCTGAGTAAAATGTAACATGCGGAACTTGGGAGAGGGTTGAAGGGGAGTGGAGAGGCAGGGAGGGGAGCAAAGAAAAATGTAGAGCTCAATAAAAATGAATAATTTTTGTTTTAAATCCTCCTTCATTAATATATATATCTTCATAATGTAAAAACAGCATGTTATAGAATAGTGTTCACAGTAATAGAAGGAGCTATATACAATACTGGATTAGAAAAGGAATTAATAGTCTCACCCAGCTGTGAACAATATTAGCTACAATAAGGACGTGCCTGAAAGGTATGCCCACTGGTGCAATTGTGGCACAAATGTTTGGGAATAGCCAACCACTTTTTAATTGAATTTCAGGCCCATTCCATGAGATGGAACCCATACCTAACACTGTCAATGAGGTCAAGTACCTGAGACTAGATAAACAGTGAGTCCTAAGAGAATACCTATTACTACTAATATATTAAATGAATATAGCAATAAAAAGATTCCTAATGACATAG